GCCCTAGGAGAGACGGGCGGATGGATGGAGGGAGGGAAGGATGGAGGGAAGGATGGAGGGAAGGATGGAGGGAAGGATGGAGGGAAGGATGGAGGGAAGGATGGAGGGAAGGATGGAGGGAAGGATGGAGGGAAGGATGGAGGGAAGGATGGAGGGAAGGATGGAGGGAAGGATGGAGGGAAGGATGGAGGGAAGGATGGAGGGAAGGATGGAGGGAAGGATGGAGGGAGGAAGGGATGGAGAGATGGAGGGGATGGAGGGAGGGGTGGAGGGAAGGATGGAGCGATGGAGGCCGGTGGATGGATGAAGGTCAGGACGAGTGGCTGGAGGTCAGGCCGGACACACGGAGGTCCCTATGGATGCACGGCTGGAGGGACGGACACGTGATGGGATGGATGGATGGAAGGACATATGGATGGATGGACATATGGACAGGCATATGAATGGATGGATGCAGCCATGGATGGATGGACAAACGGACGGACACACGGATGGACGTATAGATGGGCTGGGCTGATGCATGGACATATACATGTACAGACGGATGGGCAGATTCATCAACATATGGATAGACATACATGCATATGGATGGACGTATGGACAGATGGACATAGATGTATGGATGGACGAACAGCAGCATGGATGGAATGTATGGAGGGCCATGTGGACATATGGATGGTCACCTCGATGGTGGTATGGATGGGCACATGAATGGCTGAATGTATGGCTAGATGGACATATGGATGGATGTAGAAATGGCCATAGGGATGGCTGGACACATGGATGGATGAACAGGTGAATGCATGGATGGATGTATGGATGGACCCATGGATGGCTGCACACATGGGCGAGCATATGGATGGACCCATGGCTCTATGGATGCACATATGGATGGATGGATGGAGGCACACATGGATACGGTTATGGAAGCACACACGGAAGGATGTATGGATGCATACATGGATGGACATATGGATGGATGCACGCATGGAAGGACATATGGGAGCACACATACGGTTGTATGGCTGCAGATAGGAATGTATGGCTGCACACATGGATGCACGCATGGAAGGACACATGGATGCGCATATATGGATGTATGGAAGGACATATGGATGCACACATAGATGGACATATGGATGCACCCATGGAAGGACATATGGGTGCACACATGTATGGATGCACATATGGATGCACACATACATGGATGTACGGATGCACGCATTGATGGACATACGGATGCACAGTTACATGGATGTATGGATACACGTATGGATGCACACATGGCTGGACATATGGATGGATGCATGGAAGGACATATGGGAGCACACATGTATGGATGCACATATGGATGCAAACATGGATGGACATACAGATGCACACATATATGAATGTATGGATGCACTTATGGAAGGATGTATGGCTGGACATATGGATGCACGCATGGAAGGACACATGGATACACACATACCTGGATGTGTGGATGCACGTATGGATGGATGTATGGCTGCACACATGGATGGATATATGGGTGCACACATACATGGATGTATGGCTGCACATATGGATGCACGCATGGAAGGACACGTGGATGCACACATACATGGATGTATGGATGCATGCATGGAAGGACATATGGAGGCACACATACATGGATGTATGGATGCATGCATGGAAGGACATATGGATGCACATCTGCATGGCCATACGGATGCATGGCTGTATGGATGCATGCATGCCCGTATGGATGCATGCATGGCCGTATGGATGCATGGCTGTATGGATGCATGCATGCCCGTATGGATGCATGGCTGTATGGATGTATGGATGCATGCATGGCCATATGGATGCATGGCTGTATGGATGCATGCATGCCCGTATGGATGTATGGCTGCACATATGGATGCACGCATGGAAGGACACATGGATGCACACATACATGGATGTATGGATGCATGCATGGAAGGACATATGGATGCACATCTGCATGGCCATACGGATGCATG